ATTCAACTAGGTTGTTGGTTCCCCAGGCTGTGATGTCAACATCTCTACTTTTTGATGGTGTGAAACATATAGAAATAACTATAGGGTGAATCTTCTCAGAAATTGCAAAAAAGGAAACTCGAATCCGAATATTTTTTCAAATCATTATGTACAATTTTGAGCTATTTATAAAAATTAACACTTATTACTCGAAGAAAATAAGATTCCATGTTATATTGATGAAGAAAGAAATTTAAAATTCATAAAATATCAAGATTGCAGAAAACATGAGAAAATAGTTGAAGGGGATTTCATCTAAAAAATGTGTAGGTATTTGAAATGCACATTCACCAATTGGGTAACTTAGGGTTATATTATGAACGTTAACAGAAAAAGTAATAGGGTAATTACGGGAGAGATGGACCACCGCCTGAGATGGACCAGCGTCCTATTTTCTAATATGGATGTTGAAGGAGAGGAATACAAATATAGTGAAGTAGCCAAACGATTGCAAGTTGAGGTCGAATAGTTGCGCTGTGCATGTATATGTCTTTTGAAACTGAGAATATTCGATTTTGTATTTATATACACGTGGTGGAAAATTTTCTAACCCAAATTTGTTGTTGTGATTCTGACCTAATGTAAGTATTAAAATTCGATTTCTTGATACAAAGTCATCAGAGCTGATTATTGCTTTTTTCATATTTATACTCTGGAAATGCCTCTCTACATTTCATTTAGGAGTGCGGTCCATCTATACCCCTTAAGTTCGGGATAGATGGAGCATATCTAATCGGGGGAGTTGAACCAGTTTTGAGCAGTATTTTTTCAGAATGCCTATACAAAATATCAAAGGAAATTGCGATCTAAAAGGGTTTCCTGGACCGAAGAAGACTTGAAGAATACCATAGAAGCCATAGGTGCTAATACAATGGGGGTGAATACTGCAGAAAGACCTACTTCAATCTACCAGAAGCTACTTCAATAAGAAGAAAGAAATCTGGCAAACTGAAAAAAAGGGTCATTGGGCCCGTCTCCCACGCTAGAAGAAGAAAATGAGGCGAAATTGGTAGCACACATCAAGAAGCTACAGAAATTTGGGTTCGCCCCAACACGGAAGGATGTGCGGTATATGGCATTTGCTCTTGCTGAACAATTGAAGTTGAAGCACCGTTTTGAAACAATCAACAAAATGGCAGGATATGCCTGGTTACACCTATTTCTAAGCCGTCATCAAGATCTGAGCATAGGAATTGCAGAAGGTATTTCAGTAAATCGTTCCACTGCATTATGTCGAGACACAGTGAATAATTACTTCGAGCTGTTAGAAACGATACTGACCACTAATCAGCTTTTTCAAAAACCTGGCAATACTTTCAATATTGACGAAACGGGATTGCAACTCAACAACAAGCCAGGACAAGTTATAGCAGCTAAGGATTTGGTTCATCTCCCCTGGTGGTTCAACTATCCCGATTATAGACGGTTCAACTAAACCGCACAATCCAGGGTTATATAGTTGGACCATTATATGATTTTTAATATTCATTTTTGTCGAAAAAACCTGTTTATTTTCTGAGTATTTGGGAACCGTTAGAATTAAAGTAGATTGAAAGGTTTGCAATGAAAATTGTTTCATTTCAGTTGAGTTATATTTGAGGAACTTATGAGTGAAATAAAAAAGGTGGTCCAACTCTCCCATAATTACCCTACATTATATTACAAATGAAACTATGTACTACGCCTCTGTCACGAAACTAAAAGTCTCAATTAGTTATAATAGCAGGGAGAGTCGACCCTATCATGGCTGACCGAAGGAGGCGGACTGGACAACCGCTCAACATTAGCATTGAGCGTAACGTTTCCTATGGCAGTAGGGGAGAGACCGCCATCATCCCGGCAAAACAGGCCAAAAACCGGGGATGACTAATATTTGGTGTCAGCATCGTTACGGCTACCATCAAGAACTCTAATGATTCTATTATGTTAGAGAACGAGCACTACTAGTTTCTGTCAGATAGAAGATTTGGTAGTTGAAAAACATAATGGGTTGTGTGCATCAAGAATGGTATATAAGAGGACCGGAAAGTACAGCTGAAGAGGTCATTCAATAGGCATTATTGATCATAATATATGAAGACATGTGCGCACTCTAAGCTATTATTATATATACAATAATTTATAATATCAATTGACGTATGGATTTCGCCATACGCAGTGTGGAAAAATTTTCTGGAAACTGGCCATATTATATTTTTATGTTTCATACAGTGTGTTGTGGATAAATTAGAAATATCCACAATTATGCAGCTATTCAATTTCTTTCCAACAAACAGAGTGTACGATAATACATTCTTTCATGCTATGAGAGGAAAATCAATCATCTCCACGAGATTGAATTTCCTGTCATCAACTTCTACTACTCCAATTTGAGCACCATGCATTTCTACCTACGTTTGTGTTTTTCGTTCTGGTTTCCATTTTTTCCAGAAATTTCACATCGCGTCCTGTGTAAATTCAAAATTCCACTTCCCGTTATAAGTATACATTTCGCCACTGCCGAATTCGACAATTGAATGAAACATAAAATATGACAGGTGATGAGATTTGCTGAGAAGCAAACTCCCTCTATTTTTCATGATATTATTATTATACTATATATACGGTGACTCGAAATTTTCATGGGCACTATAGACAAGGAATTATGGAAGCAGCATCAGGAACTCCATAAAGAATAAAATTATCTTCAGTATAATTCATAGATTAGTAAAATCCCGAAAAATGTCGCGTCGAGTTCAAGGAACATGACATTCATCAAGATTTTTTCCAATTCATCAATTCGAGCAAATTCAATTTCATAAGAACGTTAAACTTGTTCAAGATTAATAGACATGATTATATACTGTACTAATATCTCATTCGAGACAGACGTAACGCACTGGAAAATGTAAAACATATTTTGAAAATTAAAATTACGGAATTGGTAAACTTTATTCTCTTTCACAGTTAATGCTTAGCTCGTGATCATGAATGCTCAACAACTTTTCAATAATGATCAAATTGTGAGCAAGAGATGTTTAGGTACATTCAACTCAAATTGGTTCAGGCTCTCCCGTTCATTTCATACTTAGTCCAACACTAGTTCCTTCTTCAAAAATGAAGAAAGTTCTGAAGCAATAGTTATTGTGTCTTTAGCAAAATTTCTTAGGTATATTGATTACTGGTTCCTGCTGGTTCTAACAGACTCGAATCTATCAACAAAATTGTTGATCATGTAAGACGGTATTTAAATTACAGACAAAAATTTGTAAACGCCCACTGTACCTTTTCACCGATTCCATTGTTGTGTTCGCTTTCGTATATACTCTCGACTGGGTAATGATAGCGTTCGGATATATATGAAGCTAAATCAATTACTGAAGTTCTTGCGGGTCCCTGTAATTATGTTTAATAAATTATGATATAGGGTTTTTGACATTTTGAGAAGAAATCATCAAGTTATTTTCAAAATGGCAGCATGGAAATCTGTTGAATACAATTTATGTAATTCCTAATACTTATAACTCTTGATGTCATTCCCACTTTTTCAAATTGAGAATATCAAACTCTCCTTTTCTGTCGTGCGTATTCAGTTAATGGGGCATGGATAAACAGATTACATTTGAAATCTCGTGAGAATTAACTAATTATTCCAATAGCTCCCTCCATTAGAATATAGATACTACTTATTTCCATTTTTATATCAAGAATTACGCGCGTTGGGTATCTATACGTTCACATATTTTTAAAGTGTTCAACAAGAGTGTTGATTTTGCCTGTCACAGCACCAGTTCGTCGTCTATCCTGATACTCCTTATACAAATCACTATCAATTGAATGTATGATAAATGAACTAAAACCCTTCGAACCATCTATGCACAAACCTGTGATAGGTATAGGTATCACCTGGCAAGAACGCCATCGTTTTTTACTTGGGAAAGTCAATACAAATTCCTGTATTGAAATTCAACAAAGCATGTCTGGGCTTACTATGAAAAACAAATTTCTTTCTTTATTGGCCACATATTGAGTTAGGGTAGGAACATATTCGAATGTAGTTAAAAGTTGATTTATTAAATTCGGATACTACTTGGGGTCCTACCTTCGATGAAGAAGTTAGATATATGCTGGTGCACATCATACGTATATCCTTAGAGTAAATATTGATGATTTCTACGATTTAGAGTCACCTCAACACATCAGTGCAAGTACTTAACGATAATATAGACCAAATATGAACATCATCGATTTCTATGTATGTACCTACACACGCCACACCTATATTATAAATGCAGTAAAGTTGGTTGTATTGTTTTGATGTTAGTTTATATACAGAATAACTAATATTTCTTTGTGGAAACTACAATCACAAACGCTATATGAGATGAATATTAAAATAAATAAATTAGCATTGTTTTTTCCTTGTACCATGAACGAAGATATTTATAAATTACTTATATACAGATTCCAAATGAATACTTAGGAGTTGCCAAATCAATACAACCACAAATCTATAGATCCTATTTTATCTCAAATTGTGGTTCGTTTCTTTATTTTGGTCACATAAATCGATCAAGTTTACTCAGATGAGATTAAGTCAGAAAGTCTCGAGGTTCAGGAGCAATTAGGCTGGTCGTGGGATTGTAAATATGGTCTTGAATTGTGCAGAGTAGTTACCGCAATTTGTCGTGATCACAGGTTCGGACATGTAAAATTACTCAGACCTGTGTGGTCCGCATTATTCCGCACGGGTTTTGAGCACCAGTCCGCGTATGTCCGCGTAGGTAAGTGATGCGAGAATTATGATCCGGGTGCCTGAAATAAGGGTAGGAGGCTTTTGAAAACAGTCGGCATGACGACTTGTATTGGACTGTGTGAGCGCTAGAGAAGGACAGCAGTATGGTGTGCGTGCGCTCGGTATAGTGATGTCTGAAACGCTGACAGCCTGCCAGTACTATTACAAGCCACTCAACCAATCCGCTGTTAGTTCACAGTGCAAACCGTCTGTCGAGCATAGAGTTCCGCTAGTCGCGCTTTTCAATTTTTGACAGTTCGATTTCGAATCATCAAGGTGTATCACGAGGTCGCGATTTCGCGGATCAAATTGATCAGCGGTCATCAACCAGTTTCCAGTTCTGATAGTGTTGTTGTTTTTTGGTGGAATTAATTTATTGAGTGATGTGTTCAATTAACATTCCCAGTGATATCCAGGCGGTATCTTTCGGATTTTCCTTGAAGGTAAACCGAAACTGAAATACTCGAGGAAATACCTGAAATCGTGTGCACGGTGTGTGGTCTAAAGATAGTTAGGTGGAAGCTCAACGTTGTTAATTGACACGTTAAAATGAGATGTGTAACGAAATAGGTACACTTTTTGAAATGGGTTTAATCGGACACGGTTTTAATGTATGCCATTATGCTACCACGTTAGGGACTCTTCCATTATGCCGAAACTGGTTTGCAATTTATACACTGTAATTTTCAATTGCGATACCGGGTATTGAAAATATCGAATCGTAGGATAATGATGAACAACTGATAACTTTGTTATCATTGTAAAATGTTCTTGATTTATGAATATATCTACTTATTACTCATGTATAATGGATATTAGATATTCCATAGTAATAGTAATAATTACTGCTTAAATAATGATTCAACCGAAGATTCGACGTCTATACCTACTGACTATCATACTATCAATGATTATTTATAATTTCGAAGTTTGATTTGATTAGATCTTGCTTTTTCTCGGTTTCTCGAAATACTTAGTATACATATACTCATGTGGATACCTATATCGAGAATTATTTTGAAATGTGAATAAACAATAAACACCGACTTGTGATTTGTGATGATGATTGATTCATTATTCATTAATTATTAATCGAGTTATCTTAATTATTTATTTCCTCAGGAACATGCGCATTATAGCTTCTTGTATAACGAAAACTATAAACAAGAATAGGTATAGTATCGCTTTTGAAATTTGGCGCCATTTTAGTCATTGGGAGTTGTAGCCTGCAACATTCATGTGCAAGGTCGAAGATATTATTTTTTTGGATTATTTTAAATCATATTATGAACAAAAGTAGAGCGACCGATAGAATACACAGTGTGATTGATCTAATTAGACCACACCACCAAGAGGCTCATATAAATATTTTGAAACTAGTGGACAATGAATAAACACATATACCGAGACATATACCTATGAAAATCCTGATTTGTTGATTGTTGATACTAGCTCATTACCAAGTGTTTCTCACTATTTTTCTTATTGCTACACTTTGAGATCATAACAATGAAAATAACAAATAATTATGTAAAAATTTTAAACATTGGTAAGTGATATTTTATTTGACGTTACATGGTACTCCTGTCAGAACTTTTCTCTGATCGTTGATGTTGCCGTGGTGATTTTATTAACAAACGCGCGTTTTTGAAAGTTGGGTTTAAACACGCTGAGGCGTTCTTTAAATAAGTATATTTGACATTGACATTTAAGGAATGTATGTCGGCTAAGAAGATGTAAGTACCAGAAAAATATATTGGTTTTATACAGAGTTTATTTATTACCCGAGTGTCAGATTGAATCAATCAGTTCACTGCGTAGCTACCTACGTGAATAATGCAACATGCGCAGTTCACACTAACTCGTCGGCTTGCAAACAGCAAACAGATTAAAACGATGCGATAGATGAGGAACTCCCATCAGTGGGATTAGGGCTGAGAGGAACGCATCCGAAGGTAACCCAGTATTGCAATGACATCAATGGTCGCGAATTTCTCACCATTATTGCTAACTCAGAATTTCGAAACTTGCAAAATGACCATGTTGAAAACAACAATTACCGCACCAAATCTGATCACCTATTCAAATCTGGTGCTTTTCTATTGGTTTTAATTCACTAAAGTATGACAACACCAGAAAATAATTAAAGCTAGTCAGTTGTTTTTTTTAATGAACTAAAAATGTACCAGTCATATTAAGTATGTCAATATGTTGATCTATTTCTTTCACAAGGAACGGTGTAGAGATATTTGATGAACGCCGACTGGCAGAAATCAATATGGAAAAAATTAGCCAATTTTATCATATTATATATTTACGAAAATCTCTAAGACAATTCACCATAAAAACCATACCAACTACTAGATGCCATATTTGTTACACAAGGAAGAATCAAACCACGCATAATCACCAGTTTGAATATGATTGAAACGCGATCAAACGGCTACGGAAATATAGCTGAACGATTTTTCAACATTCTCCGTGAGTGGGACGCCAGCAGATATATCTTCGTCACACTCATGGAGCATATAAGCAATAAGGTAAATCTCCTTAGCCGTTTGAAATAGCTCCATCAAACTTGGGTATTGTTGGATTTGTAATCATAACCAAACCGATCATGGGATTTACAGGGTGTTACATTTGAAAATCGAAAGTTGATGGATGTTCCGCTTCAAGGTTTCAACTTTGAGATATGGTTATTATAGAAGAATGTGTCCTCCTCCCTATTAATATCGACCTGTTCGAACGGATTTTATTAATTGCAGCACAACGGAGAAAACTTGGGTCGAATTTTTTCGATGGGCCACCCGGTATGATAAATAGTTTTCGCCGTCCATAATGGCGATATTACAGAATGAGCCATCACAATTTGCTGTAGATGGTTGGCTAGAAAAATGTCTTCTAATGATACCGGATTATACTATACAGGGTGTAACAAATTCGTGACTATATATATGGGGATCTCGGTAACCTTAAGAAATATATATAGAGTAAGTTGAATTAGGGCAAAGTTGCACCATTTCATCTCAACAAAACATATCCGAAAAAGAAAAAGGAAAATATGCAAAATCGTTAATTATTACCCAGTATATTTGAAGAGGAAAATGAATGTCATTTCATCATTGCCACTTTGGCCATCATCAACTTTGATGAACCAATTTTTTTTCAAACTTGGACACCCTGTATCTCGGAAACGAAGCATTTTAGGACTCTCCTCTAGGCTTTCGTCACAACAACTCTGAAACACCCTTTATAATATAACCAATGTGACAGAAGTTTTCTAAACTCTTCGTGCTCTTTCGTCCTCGTTTTTATATAAATAAAAATGTCATTTATGATTCAATATACAGAGAGGTGCACAAAAAACGGCCAGTGATGTAACTTCTGAATATTTTGAAATCGAAATTTGATATTCAGTGGGTAGCAATTATACCGGATTGTTCATTTATTGACAAAAAAAAACTTATTCCATCACTTCTGGTCTAACTGGGAGCGACCCCATTTTTTTTTCAAATCGGACCCCCTGAATATTTTCCATTATTAGATTAAGGCGAGGGGCGAACCGCAGACGAAAATTTGTACACCAGACTTCACATTTTCCTAAGACTTCACTGACTTCATCGAGACTTCACTGACTTCATCGAGACTTCACTGACTTCATCATGACTTCACTGACTTCATCATGACTTCACTGACTTCATCGAGACTTCAGTGAATTTATCGTGACTTCACTGACTTCATCAAGACTTCACTGACTTCATCGAGACTTCAGTGACATCATTGATACTTCTTGGAACATGTATTTCTTGGTATTCCACAGACTACTTGATACTTTTCAAGATTTTCATTGAGATATCACGACAATCAATTACGTTGAGAAGTGACGTCATCATGTAGTTCATTAAACGAACAAAAAATAGGGGAAAAAATCGTGTAGTCGTTAATTTCTGTAGAGTGATAGAGAAAAGTGCTATGAACAACATACTAAAAGTCCTGACCCCTAGGGTATGAGCGGGGCAGTAGTGGAACGTTTGAAGGTAATTTTCTCAAGTTGTTCCTGAATAATTCGACAATCGCGAACTCTAGCGAAAAAATAGAGGTATACAAAATTGAACAACATGGAATTGCCTATGAAAAAAGTCTATTCATTTTTCGTCCATAATGAATAGTTCCTGAGGGAGAGAAAAAATCGAGAAGTATCAAAAATAGAGTTTAATGGTTTGAAATTCATGTTCAATGTCTCACATCATGGAATTCGTGTTCAACGTGGCTGATAACAGAAAAAAATACATTATTGCTTGAAAGCAAACATATTGAATGTATATATACGTTTTAATAATTGACAATTAAAATCATCATCTTCGTCCACATTTTCCATATTCAGCAACGGTGCAACATTAGTATACGTATCGTGGCACATGCTGCACACAGTGGAGCACGGAATTTCAGCTTTTCATATTGTCCCCCACATTCAATTGAACATCGGCAAAAGATGCTGTTCAGTATCGCTTCAGGTGCTACTGGATCATTCGTTGTCATTGGGATGAGCGATCCATCCCGTTACTGTTTTTTGTTATAGAAACTTCCAACTTTCATACTTGCACGAGAAATGTTCCTCAGAAATCTGTTCAATCATTCAATTCAATCACTAGCAATACCAGTCAAACGAACTCGACAAGTCCCGTCAGCACATTATTTCGTCTTCAACCTTGATATAGGTCGAACAACTCTTTATACAAAAACTCGTTTGTTTATAGAACGGTAAAGCCTTGGAATTCTTCGTCAAAGGAAATTTTCCTAAGAACTCATATTCCCCAAAAGTTCAAAGACATTTCCAATATTTACCTCCTCTTCCTATCCTCCCTGGGTCGATTTCTTCGAATATTATAGAGATTCCCGTCCGTGCGCTCCAGTAGATCAAAAAAGTCACTATAGCATTCAGTAATCCACGTATCCCTTTTTAATCAACGTTATATCGACTACTGACAATATCACACACACAAATTAATAGCTTTTCAGTCATTGTTTATAGATAACCTCTTATTCAGGTGAAAAACTCACTTAGTGCCACAATTTGATGAAAAGCCTATAGGTATTCATTCCATGAAAACATTGATTTCATACCCATAAACTCTATTTTTGTTACTTCTCGATATTTTCATCCATTGTATCTCAATATCTCAAAAACTATTTATTCTAGACAAAACACGAATAAAATCTTTCTTATAGGAAATTTTATGTTGTTCGATTTTGTATAACTTCAATTTTTCACTAGAGGTTGCGATTTTCGAATTATTCAAGAACAACTTGAAAAAATGACGTTCAAACGCTCCCCTACCGCCCTGCTCATCCCCTATGGGTCAGGACTTCAAGTAAATTGTTCATGACACTTCCCTGTACCACTGTACAAAAATTTGCGACTACATCACGATTTGTTTTCCCT